CAGCCCTAGTGTTCTTTACCACTGAGCCATCTCACTAGTCCTAAAATTTGACTAGTTAAAAAAAAAATCTACTGTCGTGTGTAGCCTTCTCACCCATCCCCAACTCTTTCCATTGATAATGGGAGGGTCCCATGAATGAGACTGTCCTGGTAGGGTGCCTTCCTCGTCATAAATGGATAGTGCCATCAAGACAAATTTATATACCAGTCATCATCTCCTTTCAAGGTTTCAGGCTGTTCTGCATTGGCAGAGTCTGCTCCTTCACATACCAACATCAAATGAGCAGTGACGCTGTGCATCTGTCACCCATGAGATCTGCAGTTCACAAGGTCTGTGGGAAGAATTAGGGGTTGTCATGGATCAAGCCAAATTCTTCCCTTGGAATGTGCAGTCTTTGAGCACTTAAACCATCGATGTTAAGCCGAAAGTACAGTGTAGCTCATCTAGATGGAGGTTACAGCAAATTTGAGGAGGAAATTGCATATGTTTTGTGGGTACTGCCGAGAATTCATTCATCATTTGTGATGTACACAGGACCCTCCCTATGAAAATTCTTTTTCTGGTATAGTAGTGAGAACTACACTGTTTCCTTAAGCTGCTGCTTTCCTTGTCTCTCTTGGTTATTATACCTTGTAATCTGTTTTTCTTTTTGCTTTGGCTGCCAGGAAGCTCAGGCTCAAGTCTTCCATCTGTATTAAATAATACAGATTTTATATGTATGAACAATCATAGTGCTTTTCCCCAAGACTTTCTTGTACATTCTGTGTCATCTAATTACAGTTTTAGAGATTTTAGAGATAACTGTTATGAGAGAAGTTCAAGAGAAAGAAAGAAAAACAGGAAGGAAGAAAGTATAGGGAAGAGAGAACTCTTTTTCTTTTTGATGCTAGGTAAATAAGACAATCATGATAGCTAGGTAAGAGCTTGAAGGTGGCTCAATCTTTATAACACTTGTCTTGCATTCGTAAGTCCTGAGTTCCATGCTCAGAACCCATGTAAAATGTTAGTTGTGGTTGTATGCGTGCCTTTAATCCTGACACTGTGGGAGTGGAAACATATAGATCCCTGGGGTTCAGTGTGCAACCAGCCTAGCCTACTTGGTGAACACCAGGCCAGTGAAAGATCACATGCAAAAAAAGTAAACAAACAAAAACCTGGAGAGTACCTGAGGAATGACAACTGAGGTTGACCTCTGACCTCTACATGTGTGTAAACAGACATGCACACGTATTTCAACCCTTAAACTAAAAAGCCATAAAGAAGCAGGCAAGTACATTTGTAGATCAACATCTGCAGGCTGTACCATGCTGCTGTTGCTTAGAATGAATTAAGCTCTTGCTGCTTTATGAAAGGGCTAGGGCATATCTCATTTGCCCCAGAGCAAAGGCAGACCTCTCCCTTCCATCTTTGGATGGCTTATCTCTGCCGCTGAGGATTTTCTGGGAGGTTCTTGTCAGAACCTCTTGCTTTCGTTTCTAATGTGTAGTGTGATGTTGCTGGTGAGTGTTCCAAACCTCCATAAAGACTCAAGACTCAACTCTCTCTAGGGGAGAGAGGTCTGTCAACTCTTTTGGATGAGCACGTGAGGAATGCCTGCATATCTTATTCCAATGCTGTCAACAAGGTGCAAAGCTGATTTGGTGATTTGAAAGGGAGCCATGTTTTTCCAGATATGGAGCTCTCTACTCTGCTGCTGCCCAGCTCCAGATTTTTTTTTTTAACCCCCAGATGAGTGATTTCATAGGATTTGAATTTACACTGCTCTATTTATTATAAATGGCTTTGGTGCTAACCTGCTCTGACAGAAGGTCAAAAGACAGGGTGAGCCCCAGGTCCGAGCTCAGCTATGGGGAAGCAAATGCTTCAGGAGCTGAATGTATTGGTCCTGGAGCCGTCTCTCCAACTCTACTGTATATCTGTTTGATTGGCATAGTTGGAAGGTTAGAGCAACTTGGTTGCAAAGGCGGTGCGGTTTTAGCACCATGCAGTAAAGAATGCACTATAGGCTAGAGAGGAATGACAGTCGATGCATAAAGGTGAAACCTGGGTGTTGCTTCGAGGAGGTTTTTATGCTCTTGAAAACCATTTTAGTTCCTGTATTTTATGTCCAGTTAGTCTCTTCAAAACAGAAGTGTGGTAGGTATGAAATGTGTTCTGTGACTCTCCTAATGACAGGTTTTGATGGTATCGAATCATTGAAACAATAAGGGGAGAGCAAAAATAATGTTTTCCTTTTGTGAACAGGCTGAGTATGTTGGAAGGTATTTTAACTAAGGGGAAAAAAAAAACAACCAACAACAAAGTCTGAAGTGCCACGTGATCTTAAGATTCCAGTGTCATTGCCAAGGGACCAACTTAAAAATATTTTATGTGATTAACCAGTTAAACTTAACACACCCAAACACAGGGGCCCCGGGCTGGTGCTGACAACACCTGACAAATTCAGCCCCTTTCATCAAACTCAATTGAAAACACTCAGGCACCGCTCTGCACTCTGCATCTTTGGTGTCAAACTCCATTTTCAATCCTTTATGTCAAATTTAAATTCATGGCAACTGCATTCAGATCTTGATAGAAGCCCCAATTTGCCCTGGACCCCAAATCCATTCCACAGAAATATATACACATGCAAGTGCACACACTTCCCCCAGCTGGGCATGCTCTCATTTGAGCTGAGCCGGGGTGATGAACATCGAATGACTACCTGCTTGCCTGAGCTTCAGTGCACCCTCTGGTAAGAGGCTGCTGGAAACAAGGCGACTATTCAATTCACCCCTCTGCTGGAGAAATCCTGTGAGCGTGGCTCTTGTTTGGTATGAAAATGGACCTTCACGCTTTCTGTGGCATTCTCTCCTCTCCGTGAAGCTAAAATCACTATCAGTTTTTTAAGCGAGCTGAACAAACTGGTGTAACTGATGAAAAAAAAAAAAAATTGAATACGTTTGGCTCTAAACACATAGATCTGTTCTGCCCACCCAAATGATGAGCTCTTGATTTCTATACAAAGCCAACAAAAATCCTCTATTGACAACCAACAAGCTGATACACACCCTCGTCCAAAAGGAAAGAAATCGCCCTGCGTGCTTTCACTAAGAAAACATTCTGGATGGCCCAGAGATAAGAGCTGACCTCGCTTATGGAAGTCATCTTTGCTTGGGTATCCATACATGCATAAAAGGATGTCGTTTCTGAAAGCTCATTTTCTCTTTAATAATTGTCTGTTTTTCAAAAGCTATCAGCAGGTGCACATCATTTCAAAAGCCTCTTGTCCTTCATAATACAATATTCATCACGATTACATAGTATGAAATAAAAAGTAGCAAAACACAAGCGAGGGTAGTTCAATTAAATGCAACATAATCTCTGCCACAAAAAAAGAAAAAAAAGAAAAAGAAAAAATAGCGTTGTAGCTAAAATCAGGTTCTGATGAAAGAAAAAAGGGAATATATTTCCACATATTTTTAATTATATAGAATTTCCTCAAACATGATTTTTCATAATATATTCCATTAAGTTAACATCATATTTGAAGAAAGAGCATTTTCCGATTTCATTTTAAGCCTGATTTTGAGCAATTACGGTGTCATTGTTCCACGGTAGAAAGGTTGAATTCATTTACTGTGTGGTTATGTTAGTTATGATTGATGTCTCTTCTCCAAATGATAAACCAATCACCCCGATGATGTAATGTCATTTTAAGAGTGCCATAATCACATTTCTCTCAAACTAGAAGCTCTGATGAGTTCTAATAAAGATTTATGGTAGATTAAAGGCCTTCATAATATCAACAATGGATTGCTCATTTGATGAGATATTTGATTAGATAATTTAAAAAAAAAGAATATGAGTTTGCTAAATATATCGGGTCTGGCTTTGAAGAAGGGCATGGGCCATCATAAGTAACAGTCTATATCGGTCCATTTGCTGAATGAATCATCCTAATATATTTAGGAGGTCCTCTATAATTGCAGAGGTTGAGACCAGTGGTAGCTTATATTCATGGATAGAGCTACAGCACTCTTTGCAGGGAGCATTTTTGGGATGAAAATCTCTCTATTGCTTTTGATGATCTATGTTAATGAACATCATGAGGGGCTAACTCAGGAGGCATTGCCAAAGCTTTGGGTCAAGAGCAGCTAATTAGTGCCATGGCCTCCCCTCGGCACGGATACTGAATCTCTACTCATAAATGCGCCCTCTTCTGCATTTATATGTTTAGGTGAACAGTCTACCAGTTGATGGATTCAAAATGAGGCCCGATTATTGTTGTGCTTGGGGTCAGTTCTATCTAAGACTCAGAGAGTGGGAGTCGAGACACAAAATCTTCAAAAGTGAAGCAGAACCCAGTGTTCAGCGCTTCTGTTCTGTGAACATAAAAACCCAAAGAAGAACTCTGAATTTAGAAGCTGTGTTGATCACAGTGCCTCACAATCAGCTCGTTAAATTCAAGCGATGTGGCACAAGCAGAGGGTCATAGAGAGGTCATACCCCAAACACTTCAGTCTTGGCACGATAATTCAGTATTCATGTCAAGGGAACACATTTTAATCGCAAAACCATATAAAACAAGCAAGGAAGGAGAAGTCAGAAGCCAATGATGAAAACCAGGGGGACTGGGAGGCACACCGATGGGGCATGCGAGGATGAACAGGGTCACTTGACTATGACCAGAATCACAGTAACACAGAATTCAATATTCCAGCTTCTCCCCACACTTCACCTTTGAGCCCTGCGTGCGCTCCCATGTAGCCACAGGCAAATCCCTCCCGCCGAAGGAGGCCCAGAGCCTGTTATGATCAACAAAACCTCTCCAACGGCTGTGACCTTCAACAGCCGTATCTTACAACTAACCGTGCCACAAAAATGACAAATGCGTTTCACCTTGATGCTTCCCACACCGCTGTCTCCCAGCCTTTGTTTCAATAGTTGTCATTTTGCTGGAGACTCACGAATGTCAAGCACAAAACACCACACAGTAAGACACCACAGAGTTTCCTTACCACTGCCGGAGGCTTGCTGGGGCCCTGAGCATGCTCTGAGCAGGTATGAATTGGGGGAGAATTCCTCATCAGGGTTGGTGTCCATGATCTGATGGGAGGTGTTGCTGTCTAGCAATGGCATCTGGCAGCTAACTGGTGGAGGATTATGGGAACTAGGCAGCTGAGCAGATGGGAGGAGGCTAGACGAGGATGTAGGTGGAATGGGACGACCTGGGAAAGAGGACAGAGGGGTCAAAGGTCAGCAATGAGTGTCATGAGAGCATTCTAGGAAAGTTACATTGAAACCAGCTCACAATACAGATATATATATATATATATGTATATAATTTTTTTAATTCAGTGCTCCAGATGTGCTTTTCAGGGCCAGTTTTGATGTTTCCACACCAGCCCAGATGTATGCCACATGTTGTAAGATACGTGATACTTTATGAATATAATTCAGAAAAGGGCATCCATTTTAATGAAATCAGTCCAGAAAAGTCTAGTTCTTTCTGTCTCCTTTGCTATGACCCTAAGTCCTTCTCATTTCTCCCTAAACCATGTTTTTGCTGGTCTCCATATTTCTACTCTTGAGAAATTATCCACCAACTCTACCCTGACTTCATCTCTTCTCCATAGTAGTTGAGACGGTATTTCATAGGTAGAAATCAGGTCTTGTCATCTTTGCACCTTCTGATGGTTTTCCATTGTATGAAAAACGAAGTCTTAAATTCCCCATGATGCTGGGCACGTACTACCTTCTCTGGCTCATAGCTGCTCACCTATCTTCCTTACCCAGAGGGCACCCTTTCCATGCCTGCCCTGGCCCCTTATTCTCCAGTGAACAGAGCATTCTTATATCCTTTACGTGAGCATGACAAACCACTCCTCTTTACATAGATTTTCACTCCCACCTTAATGGACACTTTCCCCTGCTTCTACCACATGGATAATATTCTCAGGACTTTTGCTTCTCCTCAGTAAAGCTCTCCACATTTGCCTGCTTGAAACAATAACTACTTTTTCCAGCCTGGCGGCCTATTTATAAATTTCCTCATAGACCTTATTATTACCTCTTACTCACAATTGTATCCCCAGTGAACAAATAAAGAGGCTACGTTAAGATCAGATCCTTTATCTTGGGGTAGAAGGTGAGAACAGGTGGACCATATTTCCATGCCAGTGAGTTGATCATCTATCGTTATCATGTGGTTTATTTGAACATAATGGCGGAATTCCTACCTATGAGGCAAAATATGGCTACCCCATGCCCTAAAGAACAGCAGTCAAACTGGTAGAGTGGAGCTGCCCTTGGGCAGAGAGGGTCCCTTTCACATCTCTTCCTCACAGCAGCAGGCTCCTGACGCCAACTTCTGAGCAATGTTCTGCATGAACATTCACCAACTGTGCCCTTGTACCAGAGTCATTGTAATTGTTGCCTGTCTTGCCTGTTCATGAGGAAACTAATGAAAAGTAGCCAGGAAGCTGGGATGTGGAGGGAAACATGCAATTAAAAAGAATACTCTGGTTTGGAAAGTGTCTATGCCTGAAGAAGTGTACGTTCCTGAAGAACTACACACATGGAGGTATTTTCAGACATTCTGCTAGATACCAACACCTGCTGCTGCTTTTGTAAATGTATTTCCTGATTTATTATTATTGTTGTTATTATTAAGCACAATACATGGTACTCTAGATGGGTGATTTGGGTTCAACAAATGCATGTGTGACTTTCTGAAGCCTAAGGATTCCGCCATCCAGCCTTCAGAGCTCTCCTGTAGTGAGGAGCCAGAGTGGTTCTGATGATAAAAATCTGGGTGTAGAATGCACTATATTTAGGATAGTATAGAGGCAGAGGAAGGAAATATTTGGCAGGGGTTGGGGTAAAAAGTGAAACGGTGGAATCTTGAACCAGTCTCTGAAGAAAATGCATGTGACTCTTTTGGGAGAGAATAGAAATGAACAGTGGTGATGGGGCATCAAACCACTCTTAGCATGATGCCGTTTGGAGGGACAGAAGTGACACTAGTTAGGGATGTACGATACCCTTAAAGTTTAAATGATTTTTAGATTTAAGACATCATATACCTCCAAGTACGTTTCTGCATGTGTGTGCAGGCACCATAGAAGCCAGAAGAGGGTGTAAGATATCCTGCATCCAATGTAGGTGTTGGGAACCGAACCTGGCTCCTCTCTGCCACTGAAGCATCTCTCAAGCCCTAAAGTTTCAATCTGAAGTTTCTTGCCCAATAATACAACTGAAGTGACAATGAACCCTCTTCACTGTGTCGACAGGTAAATGGAGTTTGCTTTGAAGCATCCAGTACATTCGTGGCTGTTGGAGAGCAGTGTGAGACATAACATTTTTGCCAGGTGCTCTGGACTGAGTGCTATGGAGTTTTCTCAGGATCAATGCTAGCATTTAATCAATAGTTCTCCCATAGACCTTGCAACAACGAAGCTATGGCTGCCACCACTGTAACCGTTATTGCTGACTGCCGAGTATCTAACTGCCACTCCCTGCGCTGACCTGTCTGCTTGCATCATCTCGCTTAATCCTCAAGCAACCTCTTCTATTAGAATGACCGCATAGCCCCATATATGTGAGAACGGAATATTCCCATGTCATAGGCGAGAAAGAGGAAATCAAAAGGGTCAGTTTAACAGTAAGAAAATGTCAAGGGTGGGGCTTAAACTTGGGCTTGTCTTTCCCAAATCCACCCTGCATCTACTCATGCTGCCTGCCCAGAGAGCATGGCAATATTGTAATGAAAATAGTAACAATACATAATGATAATAATAAGTAGTAATGATGATGTTACATAAAGGGTAAGAAATTTTATGCCAGAGATACTTCCATGGTGCCTCCTTCCAATCCCGAGATATCCTTCACATGTCAAGCAGGACACACGTTTGAAAACCACACATAGCAATTATCCAACTGAGTCCAAAGACGTCACTGTCATTTTGCTCCGAAGTTTATAGGGAGGTTGCCCTCCACCCTTCTTCAAGGCTTCTGACTGCAGACAGACCCTGACCAGGCCCTGTAGCTCAGTGCTGACGTCCACTTAGCAGCAGGGCTCAGGTAAGGAGAGATTTTTAAGTCGCAATCAATAGGCTTTAGCGTGTGTGCTACTGAGGCATAGCTGAAACTGGATGTTGAAGAGCAAGGATGGCTGGAAGCCAATTTTTTAAAAATTCCTTTGAGTGACTGAGGTGGAACTAAGGTTCAAGTGCAATTTTCCAGGAGCCTTGATAGGATGGTTGCTGTGAAATCATTCTTTACACGAACTTCTGGGAATTTGGTTCAGCATGAATTCATTTCACATAGTACAGACAACAGACCTTTTTAAAAATATACACAAACACTGAACAGAGCTTTAAAAAAAATACACACAAATACTGAGAATGAAAGAAGAGTCACGACATGGGGAGAGTGTTGGGGTTGCTTCATGTACCATGACTGTGCTTCATAGCATTGTATGGCTCCTCTTAGCACCCCACTCCTCTTAATTCCTTGATTCTGCTTTGACGGCTCATTCCATTCTGCTTGCTGGTAGCTTTTACTACTTGGGAAATTTCAGAATCACTAGATCTGCCCCGAGTCAAACACTTGTGCTGTTCTCTATTTGTTAGGTCATTTGCTAAGTTTGTTCACTTGGGCTGCATATTGCCCCTGAATATTCCAACTGACAGAGACCATCTGTGTACATGCAACCAGGTTCCAGAGCACAGGGGAGAAAGCTGGAACTTACTCGGCTCCCTTTGTGGACTTCGTCTTCTTATGGAAAGCCTTAGTATGGTTGGGCAGCTAACCAGGTGACATGCTCCAGCTTGACTCCCAGGTTACGTATGGCAGAAACTCTTCATTCCCAACCGTTTCTCCAGTTTCTTTTTAAATGAGCATAAAGTCTCCAGCAAATGTGCAGAATGCTACACTGAGCTGATTGTTACAAAGCAAAGAGGTACATGCAATATGTCATTTATTAAACTCCTGTGATCTTGCACATGTGTATGTGCCCAGGGGATCTTCCAAGCTCCCCATGTAAATCAAACTCTGATCATCTGCATGGCTGGATCCCCTGTGACCTTAAGCATTGAGACTAATTTAGTTTTTACTATAACTGTTTTCAGACAAGTAGGATTTTTGTGCTGTTTTCCACTTGTAAAAATTCTGTTATAGCCAGACTAAGTGATTCCATGCAATGTCTGATAGATGGGTCCTGGCTGTTAAAATGCCATGTGGGGAAGGATTCTGGTATACCCTATCTTCCAGTGGGAAGAGAGTGACATCATCAATTAGAAAACTCATAGACATGGATGAGGAGAGGTAGCAGATGTACAGGGCTTATTTGCCATCCATGCTCCAGGCTCTCGGTCTTCACCCACTGCAGTCATCCCTGAAAACTTCATCATACACCATCTGTGGTGGTAGAATATTGCTCCAACTCCCATTGTGTCCATTACGGTGTCATTTTGCTGCTCATACAGATTTAGATTGAGTCTTTGTCCAACAAGTTCAAAAGGCTGCAGTTCTTTCTCATCCTCCCCAAACAATAAATAGTGACCATGAAATTGATGCTCTGCTCGGCCATTTTTAATATATTCACTAATTTATGACAGGGGGTGTGCTAGAGAGCAAATCCCAAACCCACTTAAAACAGCTTGTTCTTTTTCATTGGAAAGATTAATGGTGAACTGATATTAAACTGTTCTGTGTAGGCAATACGTAATTGATTTATGTAGTGATGGGGTGTCCGGATATTTGGTGGAGCACAGACATGTTTAAGACACAGAAAAAAACAAACAAAACAAAACAAAACAAAACCAGGAACAAAGGCATACAAATATAAATCTGACCGTTCGCTCTGATGGTCTTTTGTCATGTTGCTATGACAAAATATCTAATGAAAGCCACTTAAGGAGGGAAGGGTTTATATGTTCTTTTAGTTCAAAGGATGGGAAAGTCATGACAGCAGGAACTTGAGACAGTCTGGAGGCAGAGAGCAAGAACTGCCTCGCTCCTGGACACTACTATCCATAATAGGGAGGTCTTGCCACCTCAAGTACCAGAACTAGAAAGGGCCTCACAAAGCACACCTGGAGCCTTGTCTCCAAGGCAATTCTAGAGCTCTTCAATTTGACAATGGAATTAACCACCACACTCCTTACCAATTCCGCATCCTGTGTGATCTTGGCTTATGCTAAGAACTGAACTAAATATTTCACAC